ACCAGCTTTGAGAACACTTTAATGATCAATCAAGACAACTCAATACAACCGACGGACACAACAAAACAAATGTACAGCTACTACGTAGGTTCTAGTGATGGGAATTCCGGCTCTTCTTGGTGAGCCGGATCATTTGGCTCGGCTCACCAAGAAGAGCCGGCTCTTTCGGCTCCCAAACGGCTCTTCAGTTTACCACATATTATACCTTTTATAATTCAATCAAATGTAGCCCTGTTTTGACTAATGATTTATACGTGTACACATATCACTTAAATTATTCAATACATCCTTTGTACTGAAGTATTCAAAAGTAAAAATTACATGTTTAATATCAATTATTTGCTGCATGTGGCCAATTGTTTTCATTGCATTTACAGACCCTTGTATCTCTCTGATACCACCCAATGAATGCACAGACTTGCTTGTAGAACCACGCTACACAAAGCAGATAGCAACACCTATACAAACTTAAGCATAGACATTTAAAAAAAGGGGCTACTGTATCGACATTTTCAAATTATATTTAAAGAAAAGGACCTGACAAAACAGCAGGGCTCTATTTCAGTATTAACTATAGAAAAAAAGACAGCAACAGCTGACATCAAATCTTTGCTGAGCCCAAGGATAATCATAAATAAATAACATAGTGAAAATAAATATATTGCAATGCTCAGTACAGCAGCATCCAACCGTCTCTAATCATAAAAAAACATAATACAAATAAATGTATTGCAATGCTCAAAACAGCAGCATCCAACAGTCTCTAATCCTTGGATATTACATGCCACTGCATGCATGCACGGAGCAGCTGTAGAGCGGAGATCATCATATCATTCTGTCTTCTTGTATTACTTAACAAAAAATAACAAAAACGGCTCGTTCGCGGGCGCGAGCCGGCTCCCGTCGTTCACTTCGCGACCGACACATCACTAGTAGGTTCATAGCAGAGGTGAGAAGTAACTAAGTACATTTACTCAAGAACTTAAGATTCCAGTCTACGAGAATCTTAGGTTATATTATATATACGTGTTAGAGCCAGTATTTTTGTTTTCATAAGAAAGGCCACCTAATTGTAACGTCTGTAGTCAACACACTATAAAAGATTACACTTCCCACAGCGCCTGCTCTAACTTGTCATCTACTAATATCTCCCAGTAACTTGGACCAGCGTGTATTTATTGAATCACCTTTGTTGTACAGCCTGTGCTGAAACACGGTTTTATATGCAGGCTTTTAAAACTGTATTTATACTATATTGATACTGTTTTCATACCGTTTTAAACACTGTTTGAATACAGTTTTTAATACTATATTTATACTGTTTTTATACTGTTTTTACCCCTGGCAGAAGCAGCTAGGTCGCATCAGCTCCAGTTAGCTCCAGTTAGCTCCCATTAGCTCCCGATAGCTCTTGTTAGCTCCCGGTGCTAACTCACCTGAACGAAGGTTGTTTTACTGGATCCTGCCATGCCGGTGTCTTCCCCCGGTGTCCCGGAGGCCGCTAAACCCTCCCGGTTCTCCGGTAAATCCTCCGGAGCTGCCGAGGCCATGATGTCTGATGTTGTGGTGAACTGCCGTAAAGACACTAGTACTGTTGCAAAATGTGAGGTGGCAGAGTACACTTAGTGACCGCCAGAGGGAGCCAAATACCTTATCAATAATAATAATAATAACAATAGATTACATTTTTATAGCGCCTTTCAAGGGACCAAAGGCCACTTTACATGCTGTCAACAAACAAACAAACAAACAAGCAATGAAGTATTAACACGTTAAACGTTATTGATCCCACATTGGGAATTATTTAGTTACATAAGGAGACATTTCAGTAAAAAGATATCCACATTTATTTATATATATTTTTTCAAATTAGTTATTGTGATTGAATTATATATTGTTATTTTATTTATTGTTTTATTATTATTATTATTGTTATTATTATTATTGTCTTATTAGAATTTTTATTTCATCATTTTTATTTTATTATATTTTATTATTTTATCATTTTTATTATCTTATTTTATTATTCTCAAAACAGAGAATCAAACGACCGTAAACAGGAAACGCTTGGACATTAGGCTTGTTTCAGATGAGCGAGACCGACGCAGACCTGCACAATTGCGACCGCCGTCTTGCTAGTGCGTTGCATGATGGTTAGTAATTATGTACGCCTTGCTCTGGAGGCTCGACTACATGAGACATTGAAATCTCGCGGGACAAAGACGCCGGCAGCCTTGAGAGCGAGGCGGCGCTGTTTCTCTCCACGGGCTGCGGAAGCGAAATGCTTGATGGGAAACGACTCGCTGGTATATCGAGCTGAGAGCTCATTGGTGGTTTTTCCCCCGTGCTGGTGATGAAACTCTCCAATAGGCTACATGCACTAGGGTCTGAGACGCACTTCCGCCTTAGCCGTAATACGGCTCGGCTGCTTCCGGTTTACTTCCGGTCTGCGTAGCTGAGCGGGAGATCGTCCACAAAGGTTTTACTGTTTAAATCTATGGTTTAAATATGAGTCGACGGAACATTTGCAAAGACAAGTGAATAACTACTCCGAGCACTGCTGTGTCCCACTTTGTACGGCGTCAGCTAAATTCAACGGCGTCCTAAGTTTCCATGGCTTTCCGACTGAACTCGAGCTGCGAAGACAGTGGCTGGTAAAAATACGGCACGATAACTTTACAATATCCTCTCACTCCAAGGTCTGCAGTCGTCACTTCGCTACGGATCAACTAATAGAGCCAAAAACCCTTGATGGCCGTAGGAGGCTTGTGAAAGGTGCTGTACCAACTCTGTTTGAGTGGAATCACTTTACTGCTCAAACACAGCGGGCTAGTGTTTGGGAGAGAAGGGAGCGGCCCACTGAACCAGTCTCTCGGGAGGAGCAGGAAGAGCACATCGATGTCCGTGACCATGATTACTGCTCAACCCCTGAACCAGCTTCACTGGACATGTCCTCTCAAGCTACAGAAGACAACTCCAAAACAGTGGAGGATCTGCAGAAGCAACTGCAGGAGTTAAGAGTCCAGCGAGAGTTTTGCTTACAGCGGTTTGCTGGCTCCGACGACAACATCCGATTCTATACCAGGTAATGTTTTGTCTCAATTCTATCCAAGTTTTTGAGATGGGTTAGCTTATAAAGAATCCTGTTTACCTGCCGTGTGACCGCTGACTATATGCATGCAGTGTTGGGATATTTTATTTATTTAATCGTTTATTTGGCAGGGACAATGCACAGTAATGAACACTTAAAACATTAAAATGTATCAAGCGTAACAGTGCCAGATTTAGCTTTGAGCTAATTTCCATCCGCAGTCCCTCACATTAAACATTTAAGAAAATTACATTTTACAAACATGGTAAAAACAAAATACATGATATGCAAAAAGTGCAAAAGAGCAAGAGCAGCATACACAAGTATTTACCACATGGCAGTACAATATAGCAGCTACGACATATAAAGTGCAAGAGAAGATAAAAGTGCTAGATAAAGTGCAAGAGGAGATACCCCTGTGTTAACGGAGAGGACATTTTGACCAAAAGTGGTCCGTCTGTGGTGGAGTTCAGTCTCCTCTGGTTTCTGACCTAGTGCAGCGTCCAGTGTGTTTTTTGTCAACTTAACTGAAGTATAAGTACAAATACTATGGTTTTAAAATACTCCTGAACTGAACATGTAGAATCATAAATCATGTGTTTTCATATATAAAAAGTAACTAGAAACTATGAAGGTTAACTAAATGTGGTGGAGTAAAACATACTAATACTAACAACATACTGATAATACTTTACTACAAGTGGAAATCTTCAAAACCTTACCAAAGTAAAAGTATGTCAATATCCACTGCGTTTCCCCCAGTTGCACACTTAAGAATGAAGAGTAAAAGTAGTCATTGTGTGTAAAATGTTCCCTGTATGTTTTAGATTATTATTACTGCTGCTTTAATGTAGTTGTTACATTTTACTGCTGTAGATTACTATACCTGCACCAAGTGCCTTCTTAATCAGTTTGAATTGTAATGTATTATAGCAAACAAGAAGAAAACATTAGCCCATGTGTTACAGTTAACACGATTGTATTTACTGTCAATTAATGACTGACATGTGTCTTTTGTGTACAGATTCCCGAGCTATAACCACCTGATGGCCTTCTGGTCTTTGATTGAGCCTTCAATTCATAAAATGGTTCGTGTTACAAGAGCGATATCAGCTGCCAAGAGGAATGAAGAAGTGGTTACACACGCACGTCCATCAACGGTAGGCTACGTTTCTTTTAACACACAATCTAAACACAAACTGAAGGGAAAATGTTTCTCCAACATTTCATTGCTTTTGTGTAGGCTAAAAGGCTAAAGTACTCAATCCTTTTTGAATACATCAGAGAACTAAAACAACTTCATGTTTTTCCCATAGTGTGCTACACTCATGACATTAATATAGTAACCTTTTTTTGTTTTTATCTTCCAGAGACAGCTGCTTCAGCCAATTGACGAGTTCTTTCTTTTTCTATGCTTCCTGTCGGTGGGTTTGAAAGAGAGGGACCTTGCAAACCGCTTCAACGTACACCAGTCCACTGTGAGCCGCATCATTGCAACATGGACACGTTTTCTTACAACTTTATTGGGGTCACAGTGCATCTGGCTTACACCTGCAGAAGTTCAAGCCCACCTCCCAGAGGCATTCAAAGGCATTCAAAGATTTCCCAGACACACAGGTGATCCTGGATTGCACAGAGCTGAGGTGTCAAACACCATCCTCACTCCTCCTCCAAAGTGAAATATTCCACATACAAATCTCACTGCACCATGAAAGCCCTGGTTGGCATAGCCCCACATGGCGCAGTGACATTTGTTTCCAGTCTGTATGGTGGTTCTGTCAGCGACAAGGAGATTTTCAAACAATCTGGAATAGCTGCGTTGTTGACTGAAAACATGGCAGTGATGGTAGATAAGGGCTTCCTGATCAGCGATTGCTGCAAATGCAAGGTGTACTGCCCACCTTTTCTGTCACAGCAGAAGCAAATGCCAGCCTATCAGGTGAGGGAGACACAGGCCATTGCCAGACTGAGGGTTCATGTGGAGCGTGTCATTAGGAGGATAAAAGAGAACAAGCTTTTTGATGGTGTCATCCTCCTGTCCCATGCCTACAACATCAACCAACTGTTTGCAGTAGCATGTATGCTGTCAAACTATCAGAACAAAGCACTGGTCAAGAAATGGGTGAAATAAGACAAGATGATGACACCTGTGCAGGTAGCTGTGATTAAGCTGGATGAGCACACCGTAATCCCGTGTTGCCTAACACACGCTAGTGTTTTGTTTGAATAAATGGTAAATTGCAAATTACAATGTGTTGATGATTTCTTACAAATGCAATGATTTACTATTAATTACAAAAAATCACTTCACTTTATTGTCTTTTTAAATACAATTGTATATTTATTTACATATATGAAATGTGACAAACAATATATATCAAAAACAAAATATCAAATACAATATTGAAATCACATTTTGTTGTCATTCAGAACATATGATTGAGGGATTGCCTCCTAAAAAACAGCTGAGCCAGGGTCTAGCAGCTAACTGCTTACAGAGTTAACAATGGCTACAGTGCCCACTACCTTTTTAATGACAGGTACTTCGGCATGTATGTGTAAAAAAAAAAAGTCTACTTTTTCTCTGATTGCTCTTTGCACTTCTGGATCTGTGTATATTCTTTGCACCAGGTAGTCCTCCTGTGCCCACACTACAAAGTCACACCACTGCATCCCAGATACAAGAAGTTGACCCTGTACTTGCCAGTAATAGGCATGGCTTTTCTTGAGCTTAGGGGAGCCACATTCCATCTGCACATATTTGCAGTCGACATAATTTGGGACATTAGCCGCGTTCACACCAAGTACTTTCCTGTACTCAGTTCCGGCACTAAGAGCCCTGGCGCTTTTAACCCCAGGGTACTTAGTACAGATCGCGTTCACACCGGAGTACTTTTCCCTGAGGGAAGATTACAAGTACAGTAGGTGGCGGTAAGCACCTTAAAGTTGTTTGCAACCCGCTACAAAACAAGAGAAGAAGAAAAACTGATACAGGATCTGTTTAATCGCCATGTCGGTTTTCTTTATTGCACTCTCAAGACATAACATTAAATAGAAATATTTTAAATGTAACTAAAGTGTCAGTTGTACATGTCAGTAAACATTGTCAATATAAAATAAAGTGTCAGTTGTACTATATAATAACAGTAATAACAATATAAAATAAACTCCCAGCTGTAGGGAGTCTCAGCAGCAAACCCACCTTTATTATATATCTTCCTGAGACCCACTGCATCCGTCTGCCATAAACACTATGCAAACATACATGTTAGTTTTGGCCCATAGTGGACTCCATGTTGTGTTGTGTGAAATGGGGGGGAATTAAAAGTTTAGGTCAAATAATATTTAAAATTATATAAATTATCATATTTGTGTATGTGCCCCTGCCATTCCCCCACAAGGTTGCAACATTGATGATAAATAAATGACAAATAAAGCTTTGCCAGTTTATAACCGATGAAACATGATGGTATCAGAATAATCACTTACATGTGATGTATAGGATGCTACACAGGTCACAAAAGATAAAGTGTCAGGAGAAATAAGCTTAATCGCCATGTCGGTTTTCTTTATTGCACTCTCAAGACATAACATTAAATAGAACAATTTTAAATGTAAATAAAGTGTCAGTTGTACATGTCAGTAAACATTATATATAAAATAAAGTCATAACAGTAATAACAATATAAAATAAACTGTCCCAGGTGTAGGGATATTCTCAGCAGCATGCACACCTTAGTGCAACGTTGTGTGTCGTGTGTCAGTATTTACAAAAACTATACCAAATAAACTGTTATTAAATGCAGTTTGTCGCTCATCCTGCCGCTGCGCCGACGCTTCCTCATGGCGCAGCGCCCACACTTCATCCTGGTGCTGCTGGCGTTCCATCTGCTGCTTGAACACTTCTGCCTGGCGCTCCATCGAGGTGAGCATCTTGTCCTCCGTTTCCTGGGCCTTGGTGAACAGCACCATCTGATCTCCACGCAGCGACTCATTCACCACGGCACGCCGGTCCTCCAACGCCTGGGCGGTGTCAAAGAAATTCGCATCCCGTGTCCGCTTTCCTAAGAGGGGAAAATAAGCAATATACAATATACAAGTTTAGTCGCCATGTAGTTTTACAACATACTAGGATTGTGTTTTTTGTATTTTCACAAATAGAATTAAGGTTTCACAAATCTGAAACTGTGTTATAAAGAATGTTTAGACCCTCTGGGATAATCCAGTCCAAATAAATCGGCTATGCAGCGATTTAAGAGGTTCAAACACGGAGGATTGTTCCTTTTTGAAGAGTGCTTCATGTATGCTTGAACTTTGTTTAATGTTGTTGAGGCAAGTTAAACATAAAATATGATGAATATTATGAAATAAACATGATTGTGAACATCAGTTCGATGCGCAACGTTCTTTCAAGACAAAGTTACAGTGTGTGTGTACTGTGTGCTCGGGGCCGGTGTTAGCCTATTATGGCTAGCATGGCTAGCTTGATCTACTGAGCAAATAAAAGTACATCTGAGACCATTATTGTGCAGATTAAAACCCCAGTGCATGTAGTTGATTTTACCTTCGTCGTGTTCGTCATCGTTGGCCACTGAATCCGCCGTTTGTAGTCCTGCCCGAGTTTCTTTATTTTTAGCCGGTGTGCCGTGGGGCTGTGCACATTCCCAGGTCGAGTGAAAGCTACTGAACTGGCTTCAGTGCATTCCCTGGGTCGCGTCCTCTGCGTAGATCTCCAGAAGCGCCGACACCTCCTCATCATTTCTTGATGCTTGCCATAACTGCTTTCAAAAACAAACACAACGCACGGAGCGTTGTGTTTTTGTAGCGAGGAAAAACAATGGCGGCTCTGCACAACATTTTCAGAGTTGTACGGGCGTGGTTTGCAATTCGCCCAGCCAATCAGCACTGGGGCACTTTTGGAGAACTTTTCACCCACAGAAAAGTACGCTCTCTGAGTTGGCTCTAAAAATGGGGGTAAAAGTACCCGAGATTAAGTACGATTTTTGGTGTGAACGCGACTCACGGAACTAAAACGCGAAAAGTACGGTGAAAGTACTCCGGTGTGAACGCGGCTATTGGGACATTTGAATTCAACAAGGCCAAATTGGGGATATTCTGTTGGGTCAAAAACAACTCCATCAGGCGAGGCACCAAGCCAGGGCGTAGAGGGGTGAATGACAAGGCCACAAGGGGAGTAGTTCACGTTTGCCAGTCTACTGTATTCAGCTGCTACTGTGGGCTCCATCTCTGCACCTCTCCTCATTTCTGCAGTCTGCCTTGTTTGTTTGTAGCCTTTATTTAACCAGGTTAAAAAATCCCATTGAGATCAACGATCTCTTTTTCAAGGGAGACCTGCGGTACATTTAGTTACACATATAAAAACAAACAGAAAACAAAAGGACATCACAACATAATTACAGGGGTATACATTAGCAACCTATTTACATTTACAGGTATCCAATAATATTTCATCCAGCCGTGCTTTAAAACGATGCAAGGGAATCAAAATGCTCAGTTTCAATATTTTTTGCATGGTGTTCCAAGCCAGAGGAGCAGCGCACATAAAAGCTTTAGCACCTAAAACAGTCCTAGCACTAGGCACATGTAATAAAAACACATCCTGTGATCTCAGGCAATAGCTACTTGCCACTCTCCGTGAGATCAAAGAGCAGATATAAGTCGGTAGTTTACCCAGCATGGCTTTATAGATGAATATGTACCAATGAGTGAGCCTCCGACCAGTAAGTGAAGGCAGACCTGCCTTGGCATACAGGGTACAGTGATGAGTAAGTACTTTACAGTTAGTAACAAATCTCAGAGCACTGTGATAGGCGGCATCTAACCTTTCCAGGCAATGGGCAGGTGCATTCATACAGATCAAATCACCATAGTCTAGCACAGGTAAAAAGGTCACAGTGACTAGCCTTTTCCTGGCTTCAAAAGAGAAACAGGACTTGTTTCTGAAAAAGAAACCTAATCTAACCCTCAGCTTTTTAAGCAGATTAGTGACCTGAAGTTTAAAAGTAAGACAATCATCAAGCCAGATACCAAGGTATTTATAATAGCTAACCACTTGGAGTATTTGTCCTTGCATAGTCACAATATCCAAAGCAGTCTCTGGAGTCTTTTTAGCTTTAGAAAAGAGCATTACCTTGGTTTTAACAACCGCCTCCTTAATTGAGGGACCTGCACAGTACATCACGGTGTCATCCGCATAAAAATGCAAAGTAGCTTCATCCACATTTTCACCTAAACTATTGATGTAGATGGAGAATAAAAGTGGACCTAAAACAGAACCTTGAGGAACACCATTAGCAATGTTCAACCACTCAGAAGACAGCCCATCAAAGTGAACACATTGGGACCTTTCAGAGAGGTAGTTCACAAACCACCCCACTGCATGGCTGGATAAGCCAATACTGAGTAGCCTCTGCTTTAAGATGTGATGATCGACGGTATCAAACGCTTTGGAAAGGTCAATAAATAGAGCTGCACAGCTCTGCTTATTATCTAAAATACTTGTAATGTCATTCACCACTTTCATTGTGGCAGTGATGGTGCTATGTTGCTTTCTGAAGCCTGACTGATGTTTAGACAGGATGTCATTGTTACATAAAAATTCCTTTACCTGTTCACTCACTAGGCGTTCAAGAACCTTCGCCAGAACTGACAATTTCGAGATTGGCCTATAGTTATTTAAAACAGTTGCCTCCCCACCTTTCAGCAAAGGCAGGACATACGCTGACTTCCATACTTTAGGAATTTTGTTTGTGCTGAGGGAGAGGTTAAAAAGAGTAGTGAGAGGTGGAGCAATAAAATCTGCAGCTGTCTTTAAAAAGAAAGGTTCTTCGTTGTCCGGGCCAGCCGGTTTCTTAGGATCTAACTTAGATAATGCTTCATGAACAACATTTACAGTAAAAGGAGTAAAACTGAAAGTGTTTTCCAGACCACATGGTTCAGAGTCACCGACTGTGGCGTTCACGGTAGCAGAGTTAGTCACAGAATCAAACATAGAACCGCAGGACACAAAATGCTCATTAAAATAATTTAACATAGTAGCCCTGTCCGATATAGAGCCAGATGTTGTGGTAATGCACGGAGGTAGCTCATTTCGGATCTCACCGGTGGATAGCGATTTTATGGCTTTCCAAAATTTCCTAGGAATATTTAGGTTTTCTGTAGTAACTGACAAATAGTACTTCGACTTAGCACTTTTGACCTGTGAAGTGAAGCTATTTCTTCAGTCTGCCTTGTACCTTTGAGTATTCGCTCTGCAAGAGAGTTAGCAGAGCTCTCACCTCTGACGTGACAAATCTCTCTAAACCTAGAGGCAGTAACCCTGGGTTTGCGGAGCAGATGCCACTCTGAGCTAGAGCTTTGCTCACGGGTAGCCTCCTCAATTTTGTGAGACATTTCCAAATCAACAGATAAGCTGTTCATATGTAGTTGCTCCTCTTCTGAGCACACCAGCGGGAAATCACATGGCAAGATCACATACCCCTCTATGGGCAAGTGGGGTGTTGGTGGTGTGTCAGTGTGAAGTGTGGTGTACCGAGACGTCAAAGCAGGCATCTGATAGGACAGAACACTGCCCTCCTGCACCATCCCGAAGGCACTTTCCACAAGGGGCTTGTCAGGTCTCATGTTCATTGTGGTCACAAGCGGTCTGTCTTCAATGCTGAATGCTGAGTATGCCTCCGTAACTCTGAACAGGCAGGGATCTGGTAATGGCCCCACCATGCCTCTGTAGAATCCACTCCTACAAAGAATGGCAAAGACAATATAGCACATTAATGTGACAATAAAGGTAAGGAATACAGCACCTGAATAGCATTATGAATTTTAAAAACACAGGAAACACAATTTTTCAGCTAAAATTACCTTACTCCAGTCTGCACCATCCTATTTGGTACAGGCTTGGTGAAGACCATGGAGTTGATGGGCCCTGGGTTCACACCCTTAAGGAAAAGACAATTACTGTTAGTTGAGTCACTTTAAAACAAAAACTTGGTGAAAGAAGTATTTGAACCTTATTGAAATTACCATTGTTCGCGGCTTGTGCCATTGCTGTTCCGATTCAGTACAGCTATGCACAGGCGGCACAACTGGCATGTTCAGTTCAGTGTAGTGTGCCGTTTGGAACAGCAATGCTACTGTGTGATTGCACAAAACAGTTCCTGCAACACAGGAGCACTGGTTGTGCGTGAGCACCACTGGTGATGAATCACGAAGCATTATCTAAAAAAGAGAGAAGAAATACTAGTGATTAGTAACCTCACTTGTGGTAAATGAGCCAGGAGGTTATGCGTAGAATTATTGGTTATTTTTACTGACCCATTATCCTAGAAGAAGCATGTATTCCTGAATGCTTAGTGTTACCCTCTAACCCTACAATACCACAATGAACCTTCTTTGGAAACTAAGATGCCTTGAAAATTGTATTAAAGCAGTTTTGACTATATATTTGAACCCCCAAACTTACACATCCATAATCAATGTAATAATATCTGACCAATCAGCTGTGATAAAGCAGGGAGAAGTAGGACACTGTTGAGATTCCCTTAAGGTAAACTAATGCTTAACTGAACTGAAACTCAATAAACAGGGGGGAACACAGTGTCAATGCTGCCTGCCTACACTCAAACTGTGTGCTGTCTCGCTCTTCCTCATTGACCTGTAGCACAAGGCTCTCACGCTGACCTGCCCTGTCAGCCTGTCTTTATTGGACACTGAATGAAGAAAAACAGAGCAACAGCGTTAGATCTATACTCACGTCAAAACATCTATGGCAACATTGCTTTACAAAAGCTGATACCATTATGCAGTGTGGCTAACAACAAGACAACCTTTAGTAGGCTAGGCTATAAGGCTATTAACACTAGAACCGCCAGAGATTTTCAAGGTAAAATGTTCTTTTATTGAACAGAGAGTTTTGATCGCACAGGGATGAAAACCAGGGGCGTCGCCTGGACCTGAAAACATTCGGGGCTTAGCCCACAGTGGCGGCGGCACTACAGTGGCATTTTTACTGCAACACTCCCCACACGCACACACACAGTACACCCGCGACTGTTACAATGAATGCTCGATAATCAGCTCACGGCATATAGGCAGGGGTAAAGTGGTATGTTTTATGAGTGGGGACGATCACCTCCTCCAGGGGGGTCCGGGGGGATGCTCCCCCGGGAAGATTTTTTTTTAAATATTTAAGTTAAAAGCATCAATCTGGTGCACTTTGAGAGCAAAATGAAGAGAACTATGGATACCTCTCTCAACACCCATATGAAACAGAACTGTAAACAGATGTACTTTTTCTTTATGGATATTTTACTAATCACTCCCATTTAAACTCTATTCTTGTTTTACTGCCATATAGTATTTCATAACTGTTTTTCCTTTATTCTCTTATTTTTTTTATAACTATAATGATCATATGAAGGTGTGCCGCGGAAATAATCTTTTGAATAATTTGTGACCAAACCGTTAGAGACCCACTGAGATAACTTAGACTAAAGTTATGTATCTAAACACTCAGAGAGTCCTTTAGCTCACCTGAGTCTCTCAGTCTGAGAGGAGAGGACTCTCCTCCAGCTTGTTGTGGAACAAACAGCTCCATATGTCCGTTAGTGCAGCTAGCTAACCAGATGCTAACAACACGTCCATGCTGGCACCGGTCCCTCCCTCCCCCCTCTCTCCCTCTCTCTCTATCACACTAAATGCGCTATTAGCCGCGTTCACACCGGAGTACTTTCACCGTACTTTTCGCGTTTTAGTTCCGTGAGTACCCCTTATGTCGCGTTCACACCAAAAATCGTACTTAATCTCGGGTACTTTTACCCCCATTTTTAGAGCCAGCTCAGAGAGCGTACTTTTCTGTGGGTGAAAAGTGCTCCAAAAGTGCCCCAGTGCTGATTGGCTGGGCGAATTGCAAACCACGCCCGTACAACTCTGAAAATGTTGTGTGGAGACGCCATTGTTTTTCCTCGCTACAAAAACACAACGCTCCGTGCGTTGTTTTTGAAAGCAGTTATGGCAAGCATCAAGAAATGATGAGGAGGTGTCTGCGCTTCTGGAGATCTACGCAGAGGACGCGACCCAGGGAATGCACTGAAGCCAGTTCAGTAGCTTTCACTCGACCTGGGAATGTGCACAGCCCCACGGCACACACCGGCTAAAAATAAAGAAACTCGGGCAGGACTACAAACGGCGGATTCAGTGGCCAACGATGACGACCACGACGAAGGTAAAATCAACTACATGCACTGGGGTTTTAATCTGCACAATAATGGTCTCAGATGTACTTTTATTTGCTCAGTAGATCAAGCTAGCCATGCTAGCCATAATAGGCTAACACCGGCCCCGAGCACACAGTACACACACACTGTAACTTTGTCTTGAAAGAACGTTACGCATCGAACTGATGTTCACAATCATGTTTATTTCATAATATTCATCATATTTTATGTTTAACTTGCCTCAACAACATTAAACAAAGTTCAAGCATACATGAAGCACTCTTCAAAAAGGAACAATCCTCCGTGTTTGAACCTCTTAAATCGCTGCATAGCCGATTTATTTGGACTGGATTATCCCAGAGGGTCTAAACATTCTTTATAACACAGTTTCAGATTTGTGAAACCTTAATTCTATTTGTGAAAATAAAAAAAAAGGGAGATTTCAGTGCTTTTTTTTTACATGTAGACCACATTAGACCAGGTCCTGATCTAAAACCACTATACCTAGACTCATCAAATCTGGACTGGATTATCCCAGAGAGTCAAAAGATTCTTTATAACACAGTTTCAGATTTGTGAAACCTTAATTCTATTTGTGAAAATACAAAAAACACATTCCTAGTATGTTGTAAAACTACATGGCGACTAAACTTGTATATTGTATATTGCTTATTTTCCCTCTTAGGAAAGCGGACACGGGATGCGAATTTCTTTGACACCGCCCAGGCGTTGGAGGACCGGCGTGCCGTGGTGAATGAGTCGCTGCGTGGAGATCAGATGGTGCTGTTCACCAAGGCCCAGGAAACGGAGGACAAGATGCTCACCTCGATGGAGCGCCAGGCAGAAGTGTTCAAGCAGCAGATGGAGCGCCAGCAGCACAAGGATGAAGTGTGGGCGCTGCGCCATGAGGAAGCGTCGGCGCAGCGGCAGGATGAGCGACAAACTGCATTTAATAACAGTTTATTTGGTATAGTTTTTGTAAATACTGACACACGACACACAACGTTGCACTAAGGTGTGCATGCTGCTGAGAATATCCCTACACCTGGGACAGTTTATTTTATATTGTTATTACTGTTATGACTTTATTTTATATATAATGTTTACTGACATGTACAACTGACACTTTATTTACATTTAAAATTGTTCTATTTAATGTTATGTCTTGAGAGTGCAATAAAGAAAACCGACATGGCGATTAAGCTTATTTCTCCTGACACTTTATCTTTAGTGACCTGTGTAGCATCCTATACATCACATGTAAGTGATTATTCTGATACCATCATGTTTCATCGGTTATAAACTGGCAAAGCTTTATTTGTCATTTATTTATCATCAATGTTGCAACCTTGTGGGGGAATGGCAGGGGCACATACACAAATATGACAATTTATATAATTTTAAATATTATTTGACCTAAACTTTTAATTCCCCCCCATTTCACACAACACAACATGGAGTCCACTATGGGCCAAAACTAACATGTATGTTTGCATAGTGTTTATGGCAGACGGATGCAGTGGGTCTCAGGAAGATATATAATAAAGGTGGGTTTGCTGCTGAGACTCCCTACACCTGGGAGTTTATTTTATATTGTTATTACTGTTATTATATAGTACAACTGACACTTTATTTTATATTGACAATGTTTACTGACATGTACAACTGACACTTTAGTTACATTTAAAATATTTCTATTTAATGTTATGTCTTGAGAGTGCAATAAAGAAAACCGACATGGCGATTAAACAGATCCTGTATGAGTTTTTCTTCTTCTTCTCTTGTTTTGTAGCGGGTTGCAAACAACTTTAAGGTGCTTACCGCCACCTACTGTACTTGTAATCTTCCCTCAGGCAAAAGTACTCCGGTGTGAACGCGATCTGTACTAAGTACCCTGGGGTTAAAAGCGCCAGGGCTCTTAGTGCCGGAACTAAGTACAGGAAAGTACTTGGTGTGAACGCGGCTATTGCCACACACACACACAGAGCCGAGTTTGAATGACACAAGCACACGTTTATTTCCATGCAACTCTCTGATTGGTCTGGTGTCATGCCTCTGTTGCATTCACTGAACACGGGAAATTACAGTGCTGCCGTCCTCTCTTGTGTCATGATGAGGTTCACGTAAAGCACGGTTAATGTATTATATTATTGAGGGAGAATTGTCCGGGGCTACAGAAAAAACATTCGGGGCTAAAGCCCCGGATGCCCAGGCCAGGCGACGCCACTGATGAAAACGTATACCAATATAATCTGTGGACTCTCAGGGCTCGACATTATAAATGTAACGCTGGGCCGGAAGCATTATTTAGACACCGCGGCCAGCATAACGTACTTTCAACTCGCCCCACAGCTGTTTTCAGGAAAAGTCACGGACTGGGAGACTTTAATATTTTATTGAAAAAAAGTTACATCAAATATAAAACAGCTCGGGGTCAAATTGACCCCGTTGGCGGTTCTAGTGTTAAACGATAGTATTTTTGAGTAAAATGGCTAATGTTTTAAAGAATTAACACCAGAAACAGTACATAGCGTTATAGTAGTCTACTATAGTAGTAGTAGTAGTATAATAGTAGTTCTACTATAGGGCTCTGGCGTTACCTAGCTTTTGACAGCTGACGTTAGCGTAACCTGTAGCATAAGCTAGCTGGTTAGTACCTGTTACTCCAGTTACCTTCTTACCTTCATAGTTGTGTATATATGACGCAGCATATAATTTGAAGCCTTTATCGAGTTTGCTGGCTGGGGCTTTAGTCGTCCTGCAAATGCGATGAACATCGCTAATTTTCAATTTCGGGAGCTCTTGTAGACACCGGGTGTAGAAACGTCGCCATTGTTGTTGTTGTACCGGAAACAGTTGGGCAGTACTACGCACAATGCAGAAGTGACTGTGCATGAAGCCTATTGTGCAGGTCTGCGTCGGTCTCGCTCATCTCAAACAAGCATAATGTCCAAGCGTTTCCTGTTTACGGTCGTTTGATTCTCTGTTTTGAGAATAATAAAATAAGATAATAAAAATGATAAAATAATAAAATATAATAAAATAAAAATGATGAAATAAAAATTCTAATAAGACAATAATAATAATAACAATAATAATAAAACAATAAATAAAATAAAATAACAATATATAATTCAATCACAATAACTCATTTGAAAAAATATATATAAATAAATGTGGACATCTTTTTACTGAAATGTCTCCTTAACACACGGCCCGTTTATTCAGAGTATTAATGAGGATGTTGGAGAGCTGCTGATGTAACTAAATAATTCCCAATGTGGGATCAATAACGTTTAACGTGTTAATACTTCATTGCTTGTTTGTTTGTTTGTTGACAGCATGTAAAGTGGCCTTTGGTCCCTTGAAAGGCGCTATAAAAATGTAATCTATTGTTATTATTATTATTATTGATAAGGTATTTGGCTCCCTCTGGCGGTCACTAAGTGTACTCTGCCACCTCACATTTTGAAACAGTACTAGTGTCTTTACGGCAGTTCACAACAACATCAGACATCAAGGTGCAATCTCCTGATGATATAGAGTGTATTATAGTGGAAATCTGCAACCCTAGGAAACAAGATAACATTAGGATAATCAATTTATACAACCCATGTAAAAATCTAACCACTGATATATTTAAAGAAATAGCAGGCAATAAACATAGGAAGGAAGTTTGGTGTGGTGATTTCAATGCACACAACAGTCTATGGGGCAGCAACCATACAGACAGTAACGGAAATATAGTGGAAGAAATGCTGGAGGAAAGAACACTATATGCCTTAATGATGGACATGGCACAAGAGTAGATGTACACAGGGGGAAAGTCTCATGCCTGGATCTGACATTAGTGTCAAACTGTTTGGTTCATACATGCGAATGGTTTGTTTTGAATAACTCCACAGTAGGAAGTGACCATTATCCAGTGCTTACTAAAATGAATACTAATGTATATATACAGGAAGGAGGTGTAATAACCAGGTGGTGCTTTGCTAAAGCTGATTGGGGAAATGTAGGATATGGTGTGAGGAGTCGGTACACCTGCTAACATCAGAGGGAAGCATAGAGGTAATTACAAGCCAAATAACGCAACATATTCTAAATGCAGCAGAGAACAGTATACCCAAAACAACAACCAAGGGTAGGAAGAAAGTGGTGCCATGGTGGAATGAGGAATGCAGCAGGGCTATTAAAGAGCGAAATAATGCATTTAGAGAATTAAAGAAAAACATGACACAAAATAATGTTATAGAGTTTCAAAGGAAAAGGGCAGCTGCTCGAAGGACAATCAAATACACACAAAAAAGAACATGGAGAGAATTTTGTTCTACCATTGGCAGAGGAGTAACATTAGGTGATGTCTGGTCCATGTTTAAGCGGATGAGTGGGAAAAGGAAATCCATTAAAATTCCAGCTTTGGTTGATGGGGAGAGGCTGGCAGTGACAGATAAAGAGAAGGCAGACATGTTAGGAAGGACACTTGCAGCAGTACATAGCGGGGAACATCTCAGTGATATTCATAGGCAGCAAAAACAGCAGTTACTAGCAGAGAATGAAAACGTGAAGTAGAAGAGACAGGATAATAGGTCAGCTCTTGAGGTGGAATTTACAATGTCAGAACTCAAAATAGCCTTACAAGGTACAGGATATACAGCCCCAGGACAAGACCAGCTATGTTATGCTATGTTTAGACAGTTGCTTATGGAAACTATGACAATGGCGCTGAGTCTTTTCAATAAAATCTGGAGAGAAGGAGATATGCCAAGTTTGTGGAAAACAGCAGTCGTGCTACCATTCAATAAGCCAGGGAAAGATACAGCTAATCCTAGTAACTACAGACCAATAGCTCTTACATCACACCTATGTAAATGGATGGAAAAGATCATTGTCCGTAGGCTCTCACATGTACTGGAGCAGAAAGGGCTGCTGAGTAGTTTTCAGAGCGGATTTCGTAAAGGGCGGTCCACAATAGATGCTTTAGTAAGAGTGAGTAATGATGTGGAAAAAACATTGAAAATGAAAGAGATAATGGCAATAGTGTACTTTGACATTGAAAAGGCGTATGACTGTATGTGGAGGGATGGGTTACTGATCAAATTGAGTAGAATGGGTATTGGAGGGAGAATGTACAATTGGGTAAGGGCCTTTTTAACAGACAGGACATTTAGAGTAAAGGTTGGAGCAGATATTTCCAACTATTTTGAAATAGAAAATGGTATCCCCCAAGGGAGTGCAGTCAGTCCAATATTATTTAACATCATGATTAATGATATATTTACATGTTTAGACACATGCATTCAATCGGCTCTATACGCAGATGATGGGGCTATTTGGATGAGGGGAAGAAATGCCCCATACGTAATGGAGAATAGCTAGAGCGATTAAAAAAGTGGAGAGGTGGTCATATAACTGGGGATTCAAAATGTCAGAAAGCAAGTCATGCTACATGGTATTCACAAACAAACGCAAGATTGATGGCCAACAGCTAACACTATATGATCGTCCAATGACAAAGGTGAATGAGTTCAAATACCTAGGACTGTGGTTTGATAGCAAATACACATGGAAAATGCATATTAAACAAGTGGAAACAAAATGCAAAAAAGTATTAAATGTATTGCGAGCTGTAGCTGGATGCAACTGGGGCGCAGACAAACAAGCATTAATAAACATTTACAGATCAATTATGAGGTCCACAATAGATTATGGTTGTATAGTGTATGGAGCAGCAGCAAAAACATCGCTTTTAAATTGATAGAATACAATATAAAGCATTGCGGTTGTGTATTGGAGCGATAAAGTCATCCCCTATCAATGCAGTTCTGATAGAAGCAGGAGAGACACCTCTGGATATCAGACGAGAGAAACTTGCTCTGTCATACTGGGTCAGGCTACAAGGAAGTGGAGAGGAAAATATTTCAAACAGAATATTACAGGATTGCTGGGAATATGCAAAATTCCAGGGACGTGGGTTTGGCTGGACGAGTAAGGAGAGAACGAGGGCATATGGAGTGGACAATATCACGTTTGCTAAAGCAACCCCATTTAGTAGTGTTCCTCCATGGCTTTTCCCAGAAGCTAAAATAGATATGAGTATTGTAGAAAGGAAAAAAGAGTGGCAAGTAAATGAAGTGGGAATTAAAGTATGTATCTGAATGAAAAGTATTACAATTGCCTACAAATTTAAGAACAAGGAAGAGTGTGTTGGAGTTGGTATATACATCCCAGAATTTAAAATATCTATTTCAAAAAATTAAAATTGAATTAAATTGAATTAAAATAAAAATTAAATTGAACTGATCAATTATCAGTGTACACAGCAGAAATGCTTGCTGTAATAATAGGATTACAGTGGGTTGAAGAGGTCAGACCAGATAGGGTGGTGATGTGCACAGATTCATTGTCCAGTTTACAAAGCATACAGTCAACAACAACTGCCAGAGAAGACATTCTCATTGAACTGAATCATAGCCTGTTAAGACTCCACAGAGGCGGCATAGATCTGCAGTTCTGCTGGGTGCCTGCTCATGAGGGGGTGAAAGGGAACGAGTGTGCTGATAAATTAGCAAAAAGTGCACTACAAAAGGAAATCACATTACCAGTTCAACTTGGAGAAGGAGAAGGGAAAGCAGTAATTAAGAAGAAAGGGATGGAGATCTGGCAGAAAAGGTGGGAGAAAGACCAGAAAGGCAAAGAGTATCACAAAGTACAAAAGACAATTACAATTCATATTTATAAAGAAAGAAACAGAAGGGAGGAAATCACGATCGCTAGACTCAGAATAAATCACACGGCTTTGAATGGTACTCTGTATGTCATGGGGAAAAGTGACAGTGACAAGTGTGGGAGCTGTGGAGTAAAAGAAGATGTAGAACATATCTTGATACATTGTGACATATATAAAGCGGAAAGAGAAAAACTAAAGGCTAAAGTTTTAGAGGCAGAGAGGGAATGGAGTGTGGTTGGTGTTTTGGGAACAAAAGGAGAGGGAGTAAGAGCTACCAGAAAGGCACTGTTTACATTCTTGAGTGAAACTGGGGTAGGAAAAATAATTTAACATTAGGTCAGGAAAGAACATAGATTTTTATTTTGTTTTATTTATTTCATGTTTTTTGTTGATTTATTTATTTATTTAGATTAGATCATAGGTTAAAGAGTTGGTATGATATGATGATTCATACTCATGTACAGTAGGTGGCGGTATGCACCTTTTAAGTTGTTTGCAATCCGCCAAAAACGAAGAGAAGAAGAAGAAGAAGAACATCAGACATCATGTCATCGGCAGCTCCGGAGGGTTTAGCGGCCTCCGGGACACCGGGGGGAGACACCGGGACACCGGGGGAAGACACCGGGACACCGGGGGGAGACACCGGCATGGCAGGATCCCGTAAAACAACCTTCGTTCAGGTGAGTTAGCACCGGGAGCTAACAAGAGCTATCGGGAGCTAATGGGAGCTAACTGGAGCTAACCGGAGCTGATGCGAGCTAGCTGCTTCTGCCAGGGGTAAAAACAGTATAAAAACAGTATTAATATAGTATTAAAAACTGTATTCAAACAGTGTTTAAAACGGTATGAAAACAATATCAATATAGTATAAATACAGTATTAAAACTGTTTTAAACAGTATAAAAGCCTGCATATAAAACAGTGTTTCAGCACAGGCTGTACAACAAAGGTGATTCAATAAATACACGCTGGTCCAAGTTACTGGGAGATATTATGGCGCAGTTCCATTGCAGCGCGGAGCTCGCTTTAAGCGTGCCGTGTCGTGCCGTCCCCTTTTTTGGTTGTGCTTCCACTAGGCCAATTACCGGCGCGGCACGGCGCGGGGCCACTTTTTCACCTCTTTTCTGGCCCTAGAAAATTGTGGTTCTATCGGGGCCAACAAACAGGGCTGAGTCGGGCTGAGTATGCTAAACTAGAGAGAGGAGCGCTGGCAAGAGGGCTAGAACTACAACAAGATGGACATATTTGACCGTGATTTAATTGTAATACACGTTTCAAAATGATGCCGAAGTAACAACATACTGATACCGGTTAGTAAAAACCATGAATTAATGCTTTGTCAAGTCTGCAGACAGACGGCAGGCGAAAAACCTTTTAAAATTCGTGTTTTTCTAGATGGAGATTGGCTAAGCTAACGCAGTATATGCCCCGACCGTCCACACTCACAACAACGGCCTATACAGACATAAATAAAGCAGCGACTGTATTCACCATGACACAGGCAGTCTGTGGTGTGTACTTGTTTAACTTTTGTCGAGTTTCTGAACATATATAAGGAGCTGTGAGCTCTGAGTGCTAACGGCTAACGGCTGTGTTGTGTTTCTGGATTTCTCATTGAAGATGACGTCACGGCTCCGCCTACACTGCGTTACTATAGTAACTACCCCAGTTCCTAAACTGTAATGGAAGCGCAGCATGAAGTGAGTCGGCCCTGTTAAGGCCCAACGCGGCCAAGCCGTACCGAGCCGTACCGAGTGTGGCCGAGGCCGACCGTGTAGTGGAAATGCGCCATTAGTAGATGACAAGTTAGAGCAGGCGCTGTGGGAATTGTAGTCTTTGATAGTGTGTTGACTACAGACGTCACAATTAGGTGGCCTTTCTTATGAAAACAAAAATACTGGCTCTAACACGTATATAACCTAAGATTCTCGTAGACTGGAATCTTAAGTTCTTGAGTAAATGTACTTAGTTACTTCTCACCTCTGCTATGAACCTACGTAGTAGCTGTACATTTGTTTTGTTGTGTCTGTCGGTTGTATTGAGTTGTCTTGATTGATCATTAAAGTGTTCTCAAAGCTGGTAAAGGTGCAGCTAGTTTGAATGACTTTGTATACTGCAGGGTAGCTTGTGAATTTACTCCAGGTGGAACTAAAGTCTGATTTAACACTTGATTATATTTCACATCACACATCCACATCTGTAAAGTAACTAAAGGTATTAAATACATGGAGTGGAGTAAAAGTACACCATTTACCTCTGAACTGTTCTAAAAGTACAAAGTAGCATTAAATGGAAATACTCAAGTAAAGTAAAAGTACCTCTAAATAGTACTTAAGTACAGTTCTTGAGTAAATGTACTTGGTTACTTCTCACCTCTGCTATGAACCTTTTTGTGCTTTTAGCTACAAAAACCAAGTAAGTGTGTTGCTGAATTTAGCGGAGAAATACAGAAAAGTGAAATGATTTGAATCAAATTGTTACAGCTCAAATGCATTGCAATGACTTAAACTGGAAGAGTAGGAAAAATAGTGAAGAAGCTTAAAACTTAAAAGAAAAGGTATAAACAACAACATGGCCATCATAATGGGGAACGTGAGGTCTTTGGGGAATAAGATGGACGAGCTCCGCGTGCTGACGAAGACGCAGTGGGAATACCGTGAGTGTAGCATCATGTGTTTTACCGAGACTTGGTTGCACTCGCTCATCCCGGATAATAACACGGCTCTCCCCGGCTTCACGAGTGTTCGGGCGGACAGGGACGTTATTCTGAGCGGTAAAAAGAAAGGAGGAGGGATTGCACTGTATGTGAACGAACGATGGTGTAATCCTGGACATGTTACTGTGAAGGAGCGTTTCTGTAGCCCGGACATTGAACTGCTAGCTGTGGGATTACGTCCATTTTATCTACCTAGAGAACTTTATTCTGTCATCGTAGTTGCTGTCTATATTCCACCGAATGCGGACGCGGAGGTGGCTGGTGACGTCATTCACTCCTCTGTGGCCAAACTCCAAACTCTTCACCCAAATGCATTCATAACAATAACTGGGGATTTTAACCGTGCAAAACTGGACAAATCTCTGCCTACATTCACTCAGTATGTGAAATGCCCCACCAGGGGAAATAATACTCTGGATCTTCTATATGCAAATACCAAGAATGCATATTGTGCCACTGCCCTCCCCCCCCTGGGCAGATCTGACCACAACCTCGTCTTTTTGGCTCCTAAATATGTCCCTCTGGTGCAGAGGCAGCCTGTATCCACCAGGACTGTGAGGAAATGGACTCCAGGGGCTAATGAGGCTCTACAGGACTGCTTCGAGACCACTGACTGGGACGTGCTTTGTGTGCCACATGGAGAGGACATCAATAATATGACTGACTGCATCACGGCTAAAACTGTCAACTGTTTCCCCAACAATAAACCCTGGATTACTAGTGACCTGAAAACTCTTTTAAATAAGAAAAAGGAAGCTTTTAAGTCTGGGGACAAATCAATGCTGAAGAGTATCCAGCATCAGCTGAGAGACAATTTGAGGAGGGGCAGAGATTCTTACAGGAAGAAGCTGGAGACTAATGGCGCGTTTCCACTACACGGCCTCGCTCGGCCCCGCTCAGTATGGCTGGGCCTCGTTAGGACTGGCTCACTTTATGGCGCATTTCCATTACAGTTTAGGAACTGGGGCAGTATCTATAGTAACGCAGTGTAGGCGGAGCCGTGACGTGATCTTCAGAGAACTCCAGAAAAACAACACAGCCGTTAGCTGTTAGCACTCAGAGCTCACAGCTCCTCATATATGTTCAGAAACTAGACAAAAGTTAAACAAGTACAAACCACAGACTGTCTGTGTCATGGTGAATACAGTCGCTGCTTTATTTATGTCTGTATAGGCCGTTGTTGTGAGTGTGGACGGTCGGAGCATATACTGCGTTAGCTTAGCCAATCTCCATTTAGAAAACAAGCATTTTAACCTGTTAAGCCCTGAGCCTGTTTTTCAGCTTTCAGGCTCGAAAATGCCACTTACACAACAAAGACTATATCTTCACTTCTAAAAGGGGGAAATTAATAATCTTTTTTCTCAAAGCAAGGTTACATCTGTGAGTTGGATGAAGAAGTGTCAGAAATCAATATAGATGTTTTTATTTTAAAATAAATTCATATGGAACATAGTAAAAACATGTAAATTCTATCTCCGCCTAAAAAAACCCCATTACAGATAGTGAAAACCACCCTTGGATGATGGGTTAGTAGACTAAAAGCTTTAGGAATCCAAAGTACAAAATATAATAAGTACCCTGTATCAAGATTGATGCAAAACAAGATAAATTTGACCTTTTTAGAGAGATTTAGAAAAATAAAGTCCAGGCGGACTCACCTCTGGGTAATTTGGGAACCATCAGTTCCATTTGACCTTTTTCACTGTAAAAATCATTTTATTACTTTGAATTATCACTATAGGTATTCATTCCATCCAAATACAACTGTTGTAAAAAAAAATAAAAAATAAAAAAATATACAAAATGAAGTTTGACTCCAACTGGAGCAGATTTATTTAAAACTTTACAATTTAGCATGCCATTCCTCGTAACAATTTTTTTTGGAAGTGAAGCACAGAGGGACCTCACACTTCCTGCAGTACACAGCTGTCTTCACCTTCTTTTTGCCAGCATCATGGCAGTTCCTGCAGTTCTTCCTGATCCGGACATCTTTCCCATAAAACTTGGGCCCGCATGTGAGTGGTGGTGGTGGGGGGTGGGGGGGGGGTGGAGGTGTTCCAAATTCCAACATTTCTGCAGCAAGCTGCTCCCTGAAAGTCTTCTGTGTGTGTGGCTTTGTCCTGCTGGGGTCACTCGTCATCTTGTGCAGCTCCTTGTGGAATCACCTGGGAAATTGAAGTTATATGGCCATTTCTTCCTCCAGTAGTCCGATCGGTTGGGAACGGTGACGAGGCCTGAGAAAATGATAATGGACAGGAAAACATAGAAATCCCTCAGTCAGCATTTTCCAAACATGCTTCTTTCCAGCCTGCAGTCTTTTCAGGGCGTTGGCGTTCGTGTTGGAAATGATTGTATGAACCACTGAAGCGCTAAAAAAAAAGTCTGAAAATGGAGAGGGGAGACCATGCTACAGTGGGGTCGAGCGCTGGGCCTGGGACCCTGGCTGGTGTGAAATTCAGTGGCTCTGGTGTTTGGTCATTCTCCTCTCTGAGTTCTTCTTCTGTCATTCTGGAAGAGGAAGAACCTTGGCCACGCTTCCTGCGTTTTACACATTTATCTGATGCTTTTCCTTTTCCTGGCTGAGGAGCGGGAGCCCCACCTCGGCCACGCTTCCTTTGGTTTACAGATGCATCTGACGCTGCAGAAAGCTGGTAGAAACCAGACGATGGTAAGTGAGTGCTTTTTGGATGCAGGCTGAGTGGCCAATACTGGTGCAGATCTCTTTCTGGAGGAATGTGATGGTGATGCAGGTGTGGCAGGTGTGGTCTGGGTGAAAGTAGGCAGTGGTGAAGCCATTGCATCCTCATCTCCATCACTATGAAAAGAAATGTGGAAAAACAAAGAGATTAGATTAATTCCTGTAATTCCTGTTTCCTTGGCAGTAAACATGCCATTTTGAGTGTGTGAAGGCAACACATTTAGTGACTATAGAGCCATTTCATCCCCATCACTTTGAAAAGAAAC